GGTCCTCGTTCACGACAGCATGATTTACAATCCGCTTCGCCCGGTCCGCGTACCTGTTGTGCACAGCAGGATGTGTGTGTGTGTGTGTGTGTGTGTGTGTGTGTGTGTGTGTGTGTGTGTGTGTGTGTGTGTGTGTGTGTGTGTGTGTGTGTGTTTATGTGTGTGTGTGTGTGTGTTTCAGTTAAGGTGGTGAACGATGGAGGCAGAGAGTTGAGAGCAGGAGCCCGCATCACACGAGCGAGCACACCACCACCCCATCATGCACCCGCACATGACGCCGCCGCCGCCGCACCTGAGGGTGGACATGGTTTCCTCGTAGTTGTCGATGGCCGGGCTGATTGTCGCCACCATCACCGTCTTGGAGTTGCCACCGAGCGAGTCCTGACAGGCGGTGGTGATGGTGTAATAGGGATGATGATGTTACAGAAACACGGGTGAGGGTTGATTCAAGGCAGTGCGATGAGGTGAGGATTGCATCAACTCACGAACACAGCGCCCAGCCACCACCACAACAACAACAACAGCAGCAGCAGCAGCATCGCCATCACTGCCACCACCACCGCCCGCGGCCCATGCGTTGGTGAAACCTTGAGGAGCCATGTGAGGACGCTGTCACGATATGGGATGAAGTTTGTCTTGCGCCGGGAGCTTGCAGCGTCCGCCAAAGACGATATCACGAGTCCTGCAGGCCGGAGTGGTGGTGGTGGTGGTGGTGTGTGAGGAGAAAGGTGAGAGAAAGGCGTGGTGGCTTGGCTCAACACAATGCCGCGCGATGAAATGCACACGTAAGCACATCAACGCAACACACACACACACGCACGCACGCACGCACGCACGCAGCATGTCACTGACCAAGAGTTGTGAGGGACTTGTTGATGTTGCTTCCTTCGCGCAGGCGAGCACCAGAGGCACCAGTCTTGCCTGCAAGCAAAAAGCAAACGCAGACGCGAAGCAGACCCAGAAGAAACAAAAGCAGACCGTGAGGGCAAATTGAGTCGGAACGACAACCACGTTGAACACGTCGCCAACGATAATCACCACCACAACGACTGCCATCACCATCACCACCACCACAACGACTGCCATCACCATCATCATCATCACCATCATCATCATCATCATCATCATCATCATCATCATCATCATCATCATCATCACCATCACCTGCGCGTTCGCTGCCCGCGAGATCGACGAGTGCAATGCGCGCTGTCTTCTGCCCGCGGTGCTTCGTCAGCGGATCATACTGCTCCTGCGTCAGAAACTGTCAATTGGGGCAGTGACACGTGGAGGGTGACCATTGGTGGTGTGAGGAAGGCCGGTGGTGTGGTCGTAAGCTTCTGGGGAACAGTAGACAACCACACAACCACACAACCACACAACCACACACACACTGGCCACAACCACACAACCACACAACCACACAACCACACAACCACACACATGCATGCACACAAAACCACATGAGTAGGTGTTGTGGGTGGCAGGGAGCTCACGATGGTGAAGACGGCATGTGAGCGGGAGGAGACGGAGTTCATATTGGTGGCGGCGACAGTTCTGCTCTGGTTTCCCTCCTCCATCAACTGCATGATCGTGTTCAGATCCCGCACCGCCATCTTCGTCAGGCCCTGCGTGGCGGTGGTGGTGGTGATCGCGGTGGTGGCGGGGTGCAAGGGGTGGCAGTTGACGTGAGTACATGTGAGTGGGGATGTGAATGGACAAGCGAAAACATCAACATGTACAACACGAAACTATGCCAGTGCACATGCACACACACACATACACACACACACACACACGCACACACACACACGCACACATCACCATCATCGCCATGCCTGTCAACACCACCAACACTGTTGTCATTGTGGTTGTTGCCGTACCTCGACGTACGGGCCGAGGATCTTGTGCTCACGGACGCGGAGGGACTTGTTGGATCCAACATCACCAAGGAGATCACGAACCTGATGATGATGATGATGGTGGTGGTGGTGGTGGTGGTGGTGGTGTATGGTGTTGTTGGTAATGTGAGGGCGAACAAGAACAAGGAACGCAAAGACAACACTCGCCAATCTTTTTCGATGGTAAAAATACCACCTCCAGTCTCAGAATGACGGAAAGCACGGCAAGTCTTGGCTCACGCCCGATTGCACAACACCCCGCCTGCATAGCACCATGCCCCTACCCCTGCACAACACACCACCACTACGACGCACTTTCTCGTTGTAGATTTCCATGTACGTGACCTCCACTTTGAATGACAGGTGCTCGGACTGCGCCTGGTGGTTGTGGTGGTGGTGATGGGGGGTGTGAGGAGCACGATGTAAGCGTGGCACGCGCATGAGGGAGGGAGAGCACCGCACACTCAAGAGCAGACACGCTCACACAGTTACACACACACACTGCCAAACACACACGCACGCACACGCACGCACGCAGAGTGGCAAGAGCCACACGTGTGTGTCACCTCCTCGATTGTCTGGAAAAGGGTTTGACAGAGGCGCGGGATGACGCCACGATCGGATTCCGACCCCATCATTGTGTACGACTTGCCACTGCCTGCAGGCAAGCCGGGGAGCGTCGCACGCAGGCAAGGACGTATACAGCGTTGATACGTGGTAAGTGTTGAGCGTAAACGCTGTGATATTGAGAATACAGTAGCTGCGCGTGCAGGCCCACATGTGGGCACAGCAAATACACACACACACGCACACACACACACACACGTACACACACATGCACACACACACACACGCACGCACGCACACACACACCGCATACATACCTGTTTGGCCGTATGCGAAGATGCACGCGTTGTAGCCGTCCATGGCATTGGCGAGGACATCTGTACCCAGGTGCTGGAACACGCACTCTTGGTCTGCGTGGACACAGGCAATGGTGCACAGGTGCATGTATGAGATGAACAGCAGCAGCATCTCTGAGGGTTTGGCGGAAAGGGCGGCAGCAAGAGCGCGCACCCACGCACACACACACACGCACACACATATTGCATCTCAAAGCACCAACGCATGCACAGACGTACCAGCAAAGTGGTCGTCACTGGGGTCAAAAGACCAGAACGAGTGGTCAAAGGTGAATGTCTGATGCAACAGCAGCAAATTAGTGAGGGTGAGGAACAGAAACAAACGCATACACACACACACACATACACTCACATACAGACGCACACATTCATGCACACACATAAGAACACGCACACACACAGCACACACACGCACACACCTTCTCGCCCTTGATGTGAGCGTGGTTTGGGAGGTCATCCGAACCCAAGATGCGGGTCTGCTTGTCCCGCATGTCAACGACGCATGTCGTGTCCAGTTGAATCTCTGCCACCAGTAGCCGACGGAAGAGATTGTGAAACAAGAGGCAGTGATGCAGTAGCTTGCAGTTGCGTATTGGTCCAGCGAGGTGGTGTGTATCAGGAGGCTGCGAGATGTGGCGACGCAACATGAGGTAGAGCAGGGCATCCATTACAACTGCACAAACAAAGGCCCATTCAAGCACGGCTCCAATACCTCGTGCGTTCATTGGGCGAACGCGCACCGCGACCTTGACTTTGGACATGGCGGCGGCGGCGCCCTCTTGTTATTGGCTCTGCAGCGATGTTCCAGCGAGCTTTGGCGTCAAACAACGACGACGCTGATGCCGAAGACGCTGTGCGTAAACCCGAGGCTGATGACGGTTCTTCTGCCTGCGTAACACCTTCCGTTAGCTCCTACAGCGCTCCCAAGCGCAACTACACACACAGGCACACACACACACGTGTGCTTGCAAGTACGTCGTGTGCGTGTGGATGGATGGACAGGACAGGAGGAGGGAGAGGACAGGAGAGGTACGCGTGTCTGTGTGTGGCTTTGCTTGGCGCTGCTGGCTGGTGGAGAGATGGATGAGTAAGCAGCAGTGAGAGAGTGTGTCTGTGCTGACGGTTCTTCTTCTTCTTCGTCTTCTTGTTCACCTGTCAAATTTGACAGCTTGCCAACGGCAGATACAAGAAGAGCAAAAAGACACAGACTGCACAACAAACAACACAACACAAACGATGGTGAGCCTGTGTGCCTGTGTGCATGTGTGTGTGCATGTGTGTGTGTGTGTGTGTCTGCGTATCTGTGGCCCTCTCTCCCTCTGTCAGTGGCCGTCTCTCCCCTCTGTGTGTGTCCCTCTCTCCCCTCTGTGTGTGTGTCCCTCTCTCCCTGTGTGTGTCCCGATCCTCATCAGTAGCGATGTGGTTGCCTGTTGCAGGACCGCAACACGGAGCGATGGGCGTTCATCGCCACGCACGTTGACACGATGCTGTCGCTGACAAAGGAGTTCACCGTCATCTACTACCCAAACACAAGCGAGCTCGAAATGGTGCGTGGGCTGCAAGTGTTGGCACGTGTGGTTCGACATGTGCCGCGTTGCTGACTTGCTCCTGTGCTTCGCATCTGCTGTTCCCGCATCATCCTCACGCTTCCCGATACTGTGTGTGTGTGTGTGTGTGTGTTGTGTGTGTGTGTGTGTGTGTGTGTGTGTGTGCGTGTGTGTGTGTGTGCTCTGGTGTCGCGACCTCCGTGTCCAGATTGACAACAAGCACCACCGGATATTCCTCCGCCGCACCAAAGTGGATATTCCACCCAGCGCCATCTTCATCGGCGCCTGCATCAACGTCCTCTCCAGACAGGTTTGTGAACTTGGTGAGGCGTAATGTGTATGTGAGTGTGTGTGTATGTGTGTGGGCGTGTGTATCTGTGCCTGTGTGTGTGTGTGTGTGTGTGTGTGTGTTTTGTCTGTACGTATGTGTAAGTGTGTGACTTCCGAAATACATCTGACACTGCAGCTGCAATGCCATGTGGTGACAGCTGAACTTGGTCGACTACGCAGACGAGTACACACGCAAGACACTGGTGCGTAGTCGTGAACTCAGCATACTGAGGGCAGGCAATGCCATGATACTGACGTGCGTGGCTGCGCAAAATGTTTCTTGTTGTACACTCATGCTCCGC